GAGAGAGAGAGAGAGAATCCCAAGCAGGCTCCATGCCGTCAGCAGGAGGCCTGACATGGGGCTCAATCTCACAAACCATGAGATCATAACCTGTGTCAAAATCTAGAGTCAGACGTTTAACCAGCTGAGCCACCTAGGTGCCCCTACTTTTAAAAAATGTATTTAAGTAAACTCTATACTCCATGTGGGGCTCAAACTCATAACCCCCAGATCAAGAGTCACATGCTCTTTGACTGAGCCAGGCAGGTGCCCCCTTAGAGATGTATTCCTAACAAAGTGGACAGACCATAGAGAGAGTTAAACACAAGTAAAAAGTAAGGCTCAGGGAAGAGAAGGGAACAGGTCAGTCTAGGCGTACCATGGCCAATGTTCTTTAGAGTGACCTCTGGGCTTGAGTGGAGGGTAAGAACTAAGTGGAAGTTAAGAGCTAGGTAGCCTCCTGACCAGCACAGAAAGGGTGAAATTCTCCTGTGTTTGGCATTGTATGATGTGTTTCACATTTATGACCTTACTTAATGACTCTTGGGAAAGTGTCCTACATTGCTCCCGCCAGCTGTCCCTGAAACTAGCACAGTCAGTGTATCAGATGAACATGAGTCACATCACGTGAGCCCCACCCGCTCGACCCTAGGACTGGGTATTCCACGGGCAAGTCTGGAATTCCTCTGGGGTCTCTGAGGCTGCAGGCAGCCCAGATGAAACAGTAAGCACTTCTGTATGACAGTCACCACCTTTCGATGTTTCAAGTAGGTGAATTTTTAATTTTTAACCGGTGTCTTGGTCACACCTTTATCTACATCAATCCCATATTCAAGGTCTACACAGTTAAAATAAACCAAATACTTTATAGCACAGTTCCAAAACCAAAACATTTCTGCATTAAGAAAAAAAAAAAAGACTGGTTGCTACCAAGGTGTACTGGCCACCAATTGAAAGACTTTCATATTTACACAGCAAGTGCGTGTGCAGACAGGGCAGGCAGCAATAGAAGGGTGACACCGGAGAGCACTTTCCTTGTGGCAAAGGCCGGCAGGAAAAGGATGAAGTAATGAGGCTGATTTCATAAAGCCAAAATGGATGCTGATCTCATTATTTTATAGCCATACCTTGTGGTATGTTTATAAAATATTTCTTTCACAAGTTAAAAGAGAATCTGCTACAGATGGATTTAATTTTGGTAAAATCAATGGAAAAAGTTCTATGTTAATGCAACATTTGTTGTAAAGATTCCAGAAACACACGAGTCAAAATTTCAAATTATGATTCCCACAGTAACTGTAACTCTGCTATGCAACATACATAATGGAAGAAATGTTATCAACATATACCATAGGAGAAAGTACTCAGTAAGCAGAAACAAGCTGAGTTATGCTTGTTGTGGGAATCATCATTTCCAACTAGCTGAGGATATATAAAAATTGAAACCATAAATGCATGCATTATTTTATGTATTTAATTCCAATTTTTCTTGATCCAATTTAATCAGCTTTGCATCCAAACTACATTTCCCTTTCATAAACTGCAAATGAATGTCTTTCATAATTTTAAAATCCACATCATTTGGTTTCTTTTTCTCATGCAGGCTGCCTTTGCAGAATGGCATCATCATATCCTGTCCCTCCGCTAAAAGGTCAGGCCATGTCTGCTGGGACCCATTTACCTACATTTCCTTTTCTCCCTGAAGACACCAGGGACAGGGGAAAAAAAAATACCAAAGAGAACAAGATCACATTAAGTAGCTTAGACAGGTAAATAAGTTCAACAGAAAGAGGGACGGTGGCATCATTAACTTCCCTGCTGGCATCTTCTGAGCACAAATAAAGAAAACAGTACCGCCACATATTTACAGTTTCAGAAGTGTTTAGTCATAACATTATCTCATCTGATTCTCACAACAACACTGTGAGAAAGACAAAAAGAAAACTCCTTTCGGTTGTTCAGCTCTTTGTGACTCCAGCAGAATATATTTAAGGATGTGCTTTTATGGTATAATTTAAAGTCTGGACTATTTAATTGCACTTACGATATTACCCACTTACCACATGCAGAGGATTTACTTATTATTGAAAGCAGAATATACTTTATGTAAAAAGATTATGGTTACGAGCTAAACATTTAACAGTTTAAGCTTTCTGCTTTAACTGTATTCTGAACATTCAATAATGAAACAGAAAGAAATAACTGCCCTTAGAAACTCTGCCTGGGCAAAATTAATCCTGTATATTATATCCAGTATTACATTTTCCAGTTTGGTTTTAACTAAGAAGGGCACCTTCTACTGCCTCTAAAGAGGAAGGCTGTTACTTCCCAGCGGTCTGTACCATTGGGGTAGGTTTCATTATATTCAGACTCAATTACTTTGACTCAAGATCAGTCATATTTCCTTTTGACGCGAAGCAGCTTGGTCCCACCAAGTGTTCAAGACCTTGCGTAAGTGTTTGCAGGGTGCCATGGTCAACCTTTTCTCTCTCTCTGCTACTGTGATCTGGCTAGTCTAGTGTAAGTTTGTTTTTCCCCCTCCCTATGGACAAAAGGATACCTCTCCATTTATTCAGATACAAGTTCTCCCTCTTCATTTACCTAGTACACCAATAAAAAGATCAATTAAAATGAAGGTTCAGAGCAAAGCAAATGCCTCATTACTAAGCAAAAAACCTTAATATAATTTGTTCTAACCTGAGAGGTAACAGTGTATCCTTTGCCTGTGAAAAGTATGACCATTTTGCATGTAACTAAAGTGTAATATTTTAAGTGTTAAAAGGAAAGCAAATCCTAAGGAATATTAATTTTAGGAGGTTTCACTGTGGGGAAAGAGTTCTTTTTAATGTTACCTATAATTATAAACAAGATCTTCGCAATTAATAAAGATAAAGATCTGGGTAAAAGAGATGAAATACAAGAAGGTATCCTGTGGGACACGAATACTTAACTTTCATGGTTTTTACCCCCCCATATGCAAAAAAATAGTATCTGCGGCTGATGGCAAAACACAATCTCAAAACTATTTCCAGTTATGAGACAGACAGGAAGATGACTTGTAAGCTAAAAAATCAGTGATGAAGATATGAGCTCTTGCATCTTCACAGAGATCAGAAAAGGGGTCTTCTCTGCCTTTTATGATGCATCAGTCAGACATGAAGGCAGGGAAGGAAGTGTGAATTTTTCATACCGTCCATTCACTCTATGGGATCATCTCAGAAAAAGTATAGAAAGAGCCAGTGGGCAAGGTTTCCCTTAAACAGAACTGAAACAACGTCTCTTTCAATATGGAAACTGGAGGGGAGGTAATCAATTGTAGAGTATCACAGAATGGTTAGAAATGAGAAATGATGGGGTTTGTTTCTTTTGAGCAGTCAGTAATATGAAATTCTCAAAGGTCTTAAATTTTCCAGATAAACTGACAGCAAATAAGGTCCCCCAAACTATCAGTACCATAAATGAAGGAACTAATGTTTTTATATTGACTTATAATTAAAGCTTCAGAATTCCATGAATGCTGAGAGTAAAATATTAACGTGGTAAAGAATGAACCAAAGGAAGATTTTGGGAACAAAGTAAGTGGTCCAAGAACAGAAGAACATTAAAAATCTTACTGTACATTCATAGAATGGATACCGTGCAACCATTCACAATGTGTTCTGAAGAACTTTTAAGGGTTGATAACAAATTGTAAAATGAAAACTAAAGTTACAGAATGATATATTCTATATGATCTCTAATTGGGAAAAAAATATGTATATAGAAAAAAAAGACTAGGAGAACAACACAAAAATACTGACAGAAGCTTACATCTGCTAATGAGAATGTTATGTCTTCACATTTTTTTTTTCTTTTCCAAGTGGAAAGGGAGTAAGATTAGGGGACATTTTTATTTGCAAAAGCAGCTGTTAAGTATACTCTGGTCTCTCTGTCCCATCTTTTTAATAACATGCACAACAAAAAAAGTATATTTAGAAGTTGCATTAACAATTATTTTTCTCTAAGTTATCAAATCAGTAGTTCATTCAACTTTAGTTTCCCTACACTTTTTACCCAATTCACACAAGAACAACGTATTTTTTAAAAATATAATGGCATAAAATCTTATCCACGGTGGTAGTCTTCATGCAGTCTTCTTCATACATCACATCTAGAAAATGAACTTCATATGCTTGATTCCATAAGTTTTGAAGAAAACCATTATGATGAGTGCCCACAATCCCAGAATAAAACCCCCAGGAGGATGCCAATCTTTCAGCTTTGGTTTCTGCAAAACAAAGATGACAGGGTAAATTTAACAACGATGTATAAAGCAAATACTGGTGGAAAACAGAAATTTCATAGGTTGTGTTTTAAGAGGGAGTAATTTAGCCAAATTAAATGTATTAGGATAGCAACAGTGATAAAGAATTCTAACTGGGTAAATATTTCAAAGTGGTTCTTACAAAGATCAGTTTCAAATGACATTTTGTGCCTTTAAAGAGACTTCACTGGCCACCCTACCCAGCCATCTCTCTTTCACCCAAGCTATTTGGTGGCCTAACAGTCCTTCTCATTTCAAATTTATATATCCATTAGTTTGTTGGTTTTATCTGTTTCTCCTATTAGATGATAGCTCTATGAGGGTCATGTTGCTCATATTCCTAGCACCTACCTGCCATAATGCCTGGCATGTAGAAAACGTATATATATTATACTGATTAAATCAGTGGAAAAACAAATGCCACTCAATTCCATTTGTTCTGATATTCAACAAATACTTATCTGGGGTCTAATACCTTTAGTTAGATTATGCCCTTGAGACAGAATGCTCTTTACCTCATTCTGCCTGTTTGAAACTGACTAACTGAAATGCCAACTCCTCCAGATTTTCCCACCTGATATATTCTTTTCTTTGAATCTATAGTTCTTTCTACACTTACTTCTATTTAGTAATATAATTATCTTTATCGCTTATCTCCTTGCAAACTTCCAGGGGGCAAAATCTGGCTTAGTCCATTTTATATCTCCTTGCCAATTCCCCCACCTCTCAACACCCAACCAAGTGTCTTGTATATTTCTTTGTCCAGCAAGAAAGGGGAGACCAGTCTTCCCCATTTAGTTGTCATTTCAACAGCTACATTATGTTCCTGAAATTGGAGGTCTGTGACTATGACCTTTTTATGAGTTTTACTTCCTGAACTACTAGCCAATATTGTAATGATAGTCATGATATGAGAATCATATGACATGAGGGTCATATTTTATAGTAGAATAGAGTGAAGAGAAATTGTAGTCTGAATTTTAATTTGTTCTAGTCACCATGTAAACTAGCCAAGGAAGGCTCATAAATCTCTTAGAGGTATCTGCATCTCACAGTTTGGTTTCCCATACATAACCAAGACTCCTAATGCTCTTCACTCAATCCTAAACTCAACATGTTACAAAAGGAAAGGAGGGAGGCAGGGAAGGAAGGAAGGAAGGAAGGAAGGAAGGCAGGCAGGCAAACTCAAAAATAAAACAAGTCAAATCAAGCAGAATTAACCAGTAAAGGCCATGCCAGTAATATGCTGCCACATTCTATAGTAACTTATGTTTATTATCTATGCCCTAAAATACCTGATAGTTGCCTAATGTATACATTATAAACCCATTAAAAGAATTCAAAAGAATATTTTGATACAATGAAATTTTATTTTTCATTTAATTTTATAAATGGAGAAGTTACCTATGGAAATGCCTGGTTTTCAATTAGGTGATCTTTCTGAAACTTCTTCCTTCTCTTCTGAAGTTCTCTTCCCTTAGCTTCAAGGACACTCTCACCAGGTTTTTATTCTACTTCTCTAACCATTCCTTTTCAGTCTTATTTGCTCCTTAAATTCTAGTGTTCTCTAGAGGTCTGCCTTTAGCCATTTATTCTCTCCCTTTATATAATCTCCCTGGGTGACACCTGTACCGTGGTTTTGACCTCTGCCAGCAGGCTTATGATTCACAAATTGATATCACTAACATAGAACTCTATGCTAAACGCTATGTTCATGTACAATTAACAGATATCTTTAGTTGGATATTCTCAAGGATCACAAACTTTACCATAGCTAAGAGCAAATTCATTCCTGAGTCCTTCACCCAGCTCTGTTCTTCCTTCCCTGTTTTCCACCTCTCCATCCACATGAAGGGCATCACCATGTTGCCCAAGTGATAAAGCTAAAAGTCCTTCCTAGCTCCCCTATC